ACATTAGTGAGTGATCTAATTTTGTTTTTTAATGTTAATATTCCTATTTTTCAAAGCTATATAAAAGTTTAAATTATAAATTTGCGTATATGCAGGTCCGTCATGTATATAAAAGCATAAGTTAGACATATATAACAAAAATGGTTTGACCATCCCCAACACTACGGAGGACCCCAAAACATGAGCCAAGAGACAGCGATAGCTAGTTTCAAGAAATTTCAAGAGTCGTGGATCGAGCAGCTACAACACCACCTTAACCACCTCCGGTCCGTCCAAGACCACCACCGGAACTCCGTTACCGGCGACGAGGAACGGCTTATGGAGACCGTAGAGAGTGTAATGGAACACTGTAGGGAGTACCACAGGACGAAGTGGTCCACGACGGAGAAAGACGTGATTGGAGTTATGTCTGCTCCTTGGTCTTCGGCTCTTGAACGGTCTCTCTTTTGGGTCGGTGGTTGGCGACCAACCACCTTGTTTCATTTGGTTTACACTGAGTCGAGCATTTTGTTCGAGTCTCGTATCGTTGATATCCTCCGTGGTTTTCGTACCGGTGATCTTAGTGATCTATCTCCTTCTCAATTCAGGTTATGTACGAAACTAGCTGCTTAATTTGGTTTACTAATCACGAACTCTAATGATTTAGTATGTAATTTAATTATGATAAGATGTTTGAAAATGATAGTTGTATTTAGATTAATATCGTGATTATCGTGTATCAAAACAAAAAAATATTTTACCAAAAGTAATACATGTTCGAACATAAATTGAAATTAAAATTTTATAAATAGCTAGGGATATTATGAGATCATTATTGTCATAAAGATTGTAAATTTGATTATTTGTTTGTCAATTTTCCTTCGAAAATCGGTTTTTAGAACATGCTAAAATTTAATTTTGAGAGAGAAAATATAACGTTGTACAGTGGGTAAAACAACATTTTTAATCATACATTATAAAATTTATTCATTTACTTGTGATTTTGGTAGTTGAGTTCTTGATTTTGTCCTTTTTTTAATATTTTTTGGTGTTTAACAAAATAAACTAACTAAATACATTTTGATTATTTAAAATTTTAATATTTATGGTTAAATTTGTCAAAGGCAGGACGGTGAGCGAGCTACAATGTGAGACGGTGAAAGAAGAGAATGCCATAACGGAAGAGTTATCGGAGTGGCAAGACGACGCGAGCGAGATGGTGATGGGAACAATGTCCAATCTCGACCAGAGGATCCGACGACTAGCAGAAATCGTTCATCGAGCCGATGATCTACGGCTGAGAACGATCACAGGTGTGGTGGAGCTCCTTAGTCCGCTCCAACAAGCGGAGTTTCTTATCGCCGCGGCTGAGCTTCGTACCGGCGTTTCGGGTTGGGGAACTAGCCACGACCGTCGTCGAAGTTCCGACGTCTAAATCTATATTCCAAACGGTAATGAGGATTGAGATGCTTAAGGTATTATTTACCATGTATTTTGATTCTCCAAAGTTTGTTTGGTTTTTACATGGTTATAATAATGTCCGGTTGCAATAAAGATCGAAGAATTAATAACGTGTCGTGCTTGTTAGTTTACCTTTTTCGGTTAGTATTTATCGGACTGATTGAGGTTTTTGTTACTTTGTAAATAATAAATATCCAATATGGGCAAATTGTTGGATTCTTTAGACCAAGTGGATAAACAAAAATTGGTTTTACCTAAACATTACAAAATGACATAAAGTGAACGTGGCATGGTCATGTCTCTTGAAGACATGCACGAAGACACTTGGTATGGTACGTGTCCTCCTATCACGGCGTCGATTCCTAACATTTTGTTTGGTCGAGTTTCAAGATTCCTCTTTTTTGTGTGTTTTAACTGATTCTAAGAGCATGTTCAATCGTGTAAGTTCTTTCATGAGTTGCTTACAAATATTATATTAATTTTTAAAATAAAAATAAAATTAATTAAAAAATCTGAACCAATAATAACTATCCATTTGACACAAAAAATTTCTTACAAAAATTTCTTATTTAAGGATTTTTAGAGCTGATCCTTATTTCTCTTTCCTTATTGTTTTCATTTTATTATTTTTCTAATGTTAAAAAACTTGTTAAAAAAATGTTCTAAGATTCCTCTTTTTTTTTCTTTTTCTCTTTCTCCGACAGATGATAGCATTTCCCTATAGGGCATTTCCCTTCGTGTGATG